TAAGCATCTATTTTTTAAATTAATAGATCAAATTTTATTCTGAAAGTAGTCTGCCCCTGATTTTAGAAGAAACTCTCATGTTCATATTAACGAAATAAATTTGACCTAACACCTACATTGATTTTGTAGTTGAAAATGTTTCATTTTTACTTTATTCTTCAATCTGAAAATGAGGAGATGATATTAATTATCCTAAAGTAATTTTTTCATTAGAAATAATTATTGCTATGTGAAATAAAGATGTATACCAAATTTCCTATTTTCAAAGGTGAGAAGATGGAGTCAAGTGATCTAAAAAATGTTCTGAGAAATCTCGGAATTGAGGTTACAGATAAGGAACTAGAGAAGATGCTGAAAATACTGCCAATTGATGGTGAGTCATACAAGTGTCTGTGGGAGCTTCCAGGGAACTTGGATTTTTGTGGATCTGCATGAAAATTTTAATTTCTTCTGAAACATGATAGAACTTTTTTTTAAGATTTTATTTATTTATTTGACAGAGAGAGACACAGTGAGAGAGGAAACACAAGCAGGGGGAGTGGGAGAGGGAGAAGCAGGCTTCCCGCTGAGCAGGGAGCCCGATGTGGGGCTCGATCCCAGGACCCTGGGATCATGACCTGACTCTAAGGCAGATGCTTAATGACTGAGCCACCCAGGTGCCCCTAGAACATTTTTTAAAAACTAACATGTAAGCTACATATAAAAGCTGTAAGTGTCATTTAGAGTTTATTTTGGAAGCCAAGCAATTCCTCAGATGTGAGTTGCCATCAGAGCTAACAAATGTCTACTGTTGCCCTTCAGGGCTTATACCGTAAGAAGGAAAAAGAAAGAGATAAGAGAGCAGTGGAAGAAATTAAAGATAAAAGTCAGAATTAAAAAGAAAGGGAAGATATATTTATACAGTATAGTAAGCCCACTCAAGGGGACAAATTTATCATATTGAAAAAGGCTTCTCTTCCTTAATTTCATTGTTATATAAAGATGAAAATTTTGGGTAAAACATTTTTAACAGAATTCCTGAGATATCATCCACATGCCATACAATTAACCCAATAAAGTATACAACTCGGTGAATTCTAATGTATTCACAAAATTGTGCATTCATCACCACAATCAATTTTAGAACATTTTTATTATCCCAGAAAGATACCCCATACCCATTGACCATCACCTCCCAATTTCTCCATTCCCCCTCAGCCCTGAGCAACCACTGATCTATTTTCTATCTCCAGTTTTCCTATTCTGAACATTGCACATAAATAGAATCATACAATATGTGGTCCTTTGTGACTAGTTTCACTTAGCACAATGTTTTCAAGGCCCATCCCTATCCTGTTATGTATTAGTACAGTTGACCCTTGAACAACACAGGGGTTAGGAGCACTGACTCCCTGTGCAGATGAAAATCCATGTATAACTTTTGACTCTCCAAAAACTTAACTAATTGCCTACTGTTGACCAGAAGCCTGATAACATAAACAGTCCATTAATATATATTTTGTATGCTATATGTATTATATACTCTTACAATAGGTAAGCTAGAAAAAAGAAAGTATTGTTAAGAAAATCATAAGAAGGGGCGCCTGGGTGGCCCAGTCATTAATCATCTACCTTTGGCTCAGGTCATGATCCTAGGGTCCTGGAATCGAGCCCCACATTGCGCTCCCTGCTCAGCAGGAAGCCTGCTTCTCCCTCTCCCCCTGCTTGTGTTCCTGCTCTCAATGTCTCTCTCTCTGTCAAATAAATAAAATCTTTAAAAAAAAAAAAAAAGAAAAGAAAAAATCGTAAGGAAGACGGGTGCCTGGGTGGCTCAGTCGGTTAAGCCTCCGACTCTTGATAACAGCTCAGGTCACAATCTCACAGTCCTGGGATGGAGCCTGGTATGCGGCTCCAGGCTCAGCACAGAGTCGGCTTGAGATTCTCTCCCTCTACCTCTGCCCTTTTCCCCTCCCCCTGCTTGCACTCTCTCTCTTTCTCTCTCTAAATCGTAAGGAAGAGAAAATACATTTACAGCACTGTAAACACTCCATATTTAAGTGGACCTGCACAGTTCAAACTCCTGTTTTTCAAAGGTCAACCGACATTTTAGCTATTATGAATAATACTCCTCTGAACATTCAAGTTTTTATGTGGATACATATTTTCTTTTGTCTTGGGTATATACCTTAAGAGTGAAATTGTTGGGTCATATGGTAACTCTATGTTAAACCACGCTGTTTTCCAGACTGGCTGCCCTACTTTACATTTCCACCAGCAGTGTACCAGAGTTCCAGTTTCTCCACATCCTAGTCAACACTTGTTATTATCTGTCCTTTGATTATATTGTAGTGAGTGTGAGGTGGTATCTTACTCTGGTTTTGATTTCCCTGATGGCTGATGATGTTAAGCATCTTTTCATGTGTATATTGGCTAAATGTATATCTCCTTTGGAGAAAAATCTTTTCATATCCTTGTCCATTTTTAAATTTAGTTATCTTTTTATTATTGAATCAAAGTCTGTATATATTCTAGATACAAGTCCCTTATATTTTCTAAATACAAGTTCCTTTTCAGATATATGATTGCAAGAGTTTTCTCCTGTTCTGTGAATTATCTTTTTACTTTCTTGATAGTGTTCCTTGATGCACAAAAGTTTTTAATTTTGTTGTCCAGATTATAATTTTTTTCTTTTGTTGCTTGTGCTTTGGGTGTCATATATAAAAAACTATTGCCTAATCTAAGGTTAAGAAAATTTACAGCTGTTTTCTTTTAACATTTTTATAGTTTTAGCCCTTATAGTTAGGTCTTTGATCCATCTTGAGTTAATTTTTATTTATTTATTTATTTATTTATTTATTTATTTATCTTTACAAAGAGAGAGTGTGAGCAGGGGCAGAGGGGGAGGGAGAGAGAGAATCCCAAGCAAGCTCCACACCCAGCACAGAGCCTTATGCGAGGCTTGATCTCATGACCCTGAGATCACAATCCAAACCAAAATCAAGAGCTTAACTTACTGAGCCACCCAGGTGCCCCATATTGAGTTAATTTTTGTATATGGTGTGAGATAGGGATCCAAAAGAATATTCTCTTTGCACATGAATATCCAGTTGTCCCAGCACCATTTGTTGAAGAGACTATTCTTTCTTCATTAAATGGTGCTGGTACCCTTGTCAAAAATCAATTGACCATAAATTGGAAGGCTTATTTCTGGATTCTAAATTCCATTCCATTGATCTATATATCTACTTTTATGCCAGTACCCCACTGTCTTGATTACTGTAGTTTTGTAGTTTTTAAAATGAAAAGTGTATGGGGTGCCTAGATGGCTCATTCGGTTAATTGTCCAAGTATTGGTTTCAGCTCAGGTCATGATCTCATGGGTTGTGGGATTGAGCCCAATATGGGCTCTGTGCTCAGCAGGGAGCCTGCCTGAGAATCTCTCCCTCTGCCCCTGCCTGACCCCCATGCACACTTGCAAGTGAGCATGCTCTCTCTCTCTCAAATAAATAAATAAATAAATAAATAAATAAATAAATAAATATTTAAAAAGAAAAGTGTGAGTCCCCCACTTCTGTTTCCTTTTCAAGATTATTTTTGCTATTTGGGGCCCCAGCTTTACCATATGACTATTAGGATCAGCTCATCAATTTCTGCAAACAAACCAGCTAGAAATTTCTATAAGATTGCATTGAATCCATGGATCAATTTGGGGAATATTGCCATATTCACAATATTAAGTCTTCCAATCCACAAACATAGGATGTCTTTTCATTTACTTAGGTCTTCTTTAATTTCTTTCTACAATGTTTTATAGTTTCTAGAGTATAAATTTTGTACTCCTTTTGTTAAATTTATTCTTAAGCATTTTATTCTTTTTGATGCTCTTGTAAATGGAATTGCTTTCTTAGTTTCCTTTTGGGTTTGCTCATTACAACAGTATAGAAATACAGTTGTGGGCTCCTGGGTGGCTCAGTTGGTTAAGCATCTGCCTTTGGCTCAGGTCATGATCTCAGGATCCTGGGATCGAGTCCCACATCAGACTCCCAGCTCAGCAGGGAGCCTGCTTCTCCCTCTGACCCTCTCCCCTCTCATGCTGTTTCTCTCTCTCTCTCTCTGTGTTAAATAAATAAATAAATAAAATCTTTAAAAAAAAAACACAGTTGATTTTATATATTGATAAAAGACTAGATTTTCTATTTCCAAAATTATTCTATTCATGCTGTTTTTGTGAATCTCATATTCATTTTGCCATTACATGAATTATGACTTTTCTTTCAGCTAATGGAAAGTTATATCGTAATAGATTACTGAAGGCTATGAAGTCTCTCAATGGTAAGTAAGAAACAAAATTATAAGGCATATTATCTAGGTTCTCCAGATATATCATCCAAGCATGAATCTTGGTCCTATATAAGTTTTTACTTAGGATTCTTTCAGCATAACTACATTCCATCTGCTGTTAATATACACTTTTTCTTGGCAGGAAGTCCAGTATCTTCTTAGATTTTTTTCGACTCTTTCTCAAAAAGAAAAATCAATTCTACTGAATACAAACCAAAAACCCTGGTCATTATTGAAGAGAATGGTCAACTACAATGATAACTAATATGTTGAGTCAGTAAACAAAAATAACCCTACTTTTTGTGCCAAGTAATTAAGTTAGTGGTCTGCAGTTCTATTTGTTCAAGCCCCTTAACCCTGTTTTATTATGTAAGCTTGTCAACAAGAATAGACTAAAGGAAATATAATTCTAATTCTGACTCTCTTGACTTTCTCCTTGGGTCTTCAAGTGGACCAGTCTATTTGGGGTTTTAGTCTTGTTGAAATGTAACGATAACAAAGGCATGAAATATATTTTATGTTTTGTCTCTTTTGTTTTAATAATATGTAGTCATTAAAGTTAACAGTTTTACTAAAAAATTTTTTTAATTTTGCTATATATAACTTTTTTTTTCCAATATTGCTTCATTGTCTCTTTCCTAAGATGGGAAGATGAAAAAGAATAAACTCCATACTAATTTGGAAAATATGGGAATGAGACTCACAGAAGAGGAATTTGCTGAATTGTCAGGACAACTACAAGTTGATGGTGAGCACTAGAGATGGCACTAGGGCATCTGTTGATCTTCTGTTTAAAGGTGTATCAATTAAAATTGGGATGTAAGTCAAATTCAGCTGGACTTTATTATACTAAATGAATAATTTGTATCTTTTTCTAAGCTCATGTCATTGATTATATGTCTCTTTTGGGCTTATGTAGCGAATGGGAATGTTGATCTGCCTAACTTGATGGAAGCAGTGAAAGCTATTACAGGTGAGTACAAAGTCACTATAAACCTAGAATTCCTATTGGAACAGAACTATATTTTACTATTAACCTTAATTGCCATGTTGATTCTGTTACTGTACTCCTTGTTGTAAATACTTGTCTAGAGTTGGACTTTGTGGTATCCATGTTTTGGTAATAAAATTTTAGTCTCATGTCTTGGTAGAAAGACCCATTTTCTCTAGAAAATTTTAAACTTAAAAATAACATTTTTAGAGTCACTAAATTTTCCTCACAGGCCTTTCTCTTTCTGATTAAGGGAAGGTTGACATCAAGAACCTGGAAACCGTTCTAGGCAACATGGGAATCAAGCTCACTGACAAGGAACTTGAAGATCTGAATCAAAACCTGCCTGTCAGTGGTGAGCATATGAGATATCATTAGATTTTGAGCTTTAGGTTTTATGTACCTTTAGCAATGAGAGGAATGGAACAAGGGAACTTTTTATGCAGAAGATGTCAAGATTGGAGATGAGACAACTTCTTTGTCAGTTTGGGAATGTAGTATTTGGACACAGGTGGCATGGTCACTAGAAGAGTCTCCTCAATTCTGAGAACAAGAAAGCCACTTTGAATCCCATCTTTTCATCATCAAATTCATGAGTTGATATTTTATGAAATGGAAAGTCAAATTTACATTTTTGAAATAAGTATATTTTTAATATTTAAAATTTTTTCTTCTACTCCAAGCTCATAACATATTCTGAGTAAATATTTATTGAATGACTGTTTAAAATGCTTAATAAGATGCCCAGGACACTTAAGTGCTGTTACAATCTGAAGGGGAGGAGAGTGTTCTTTTGCTATTTTACATCATTTTATGAGCTTCAAGTTATGGTTTTTTGTTACAGTTGATAATAAAGTTGCTCTGAAAACTTTGAAGGATGAAGTGAAAGCTTTTACAGGTAAGATATAAATGATTTGCAATAAATCACGATTTACACTAAAAATTTTAATAGCGTGTTCTCAAAATTGTATTAGTGGCTTATAAATTCACATATTTTCAGTATTCATTTTGATAAATATTTGCATCTACTGATCAACAGCTTAATCTAACATTATCTGGGTTTATAAGTAAAACAAAAGGATAATTTCTTCATAATAAGTCTTATATTCTTTGATGCTTTTTTTCAATGAAAGTATCTGGCTGGTACTTATAGACCCAAAAACTAGATGGACACAGTAAAAGCAGGGCAGAGCATTAAAAATAGTAAGTCCATTGCCAATAGCTAATCACATAACTTTAAGAAAATAAAGTAAAATATGTCATAGTTTGTTAATTGTGTATTGTATTAACCATATCTTGACTTTATTTCTGGATAATTATATGACCAGATTTGCTTCTGCACAATGTGATATTATTCTCAGTATTAGGAATACATCTTATTTACTATTTTTTTAAAGATTTTATTTATTTGAGAGAGAGAGAAAGAGCACAAATGGGGGGAGGGGCAGAAGGAGAGAGAGAAGCAGACTCCCTGCTGAGCAGAGCCCAATGTGGGGCTCAATCCCAAGACCCTGGGATCATGACCTGAGCTGAAGACAGACGCTTAACTGACTGAGCCACCCAGGTGTCCCTTCCTGTTTACTATTAAGGGACAAATTCTATTTTTTATTTACCATTTGACTCTTTTTATCAGGAAATCTTTCACTCTTCCTTTCCTTTTCATCCTGGTATTAGAGAAAAGACTAGAGCAGCAAAAGTATATATTTAGATGATCTTAAATAATTAGATTATCCTATCATATTTTAACCTATTACTATTCCATCTTTTCAAAGGAGAAAAGATTGATTCCAGTGACCTACAAAATATTCTGAAAGACATGGGGATTGAGCTTACAGATATGGAGCACAAGCATCTACTGAAAACACTGCCCATTGATGGTAAATAAATGCCAACATGCCTTCCAGGGAACTTGATTTTATGGGTCAATGTGAGCCATTCTCAATCTTTTAATAGTACAGTTTTGTCTTTAAAATGCCATAAATTAATAGAAAGTCACTTCTGACTTGAAAAGAAATTCTATCATTTCCTCTTCGAGCACAATTGGAGAGTCATCACTACATTGCCATACAGTTGTCCAAGTGACTAATACTACCCCCTCAGATCAGCAATAGTTTTGCAATAAGAGCAATGAAAAGTAATGAAGGAGAAATAGGACATCAGTGGAATAAAAAAAAAGAAATATTTAATGTATTTTTTAGAATTGCACCATGAGAGAGTTTAATAAATGTTTCCTATTCCAAAGAACGGGTAAGTTTGTCATTGTGCAAAACACTTATATTTTTAAATGTCCATATTGTATAACTATAAAATAGGTTTTAATTTTTAAAGCAAATCATTGAAATGTATCTTTCTACAATCATAGAATTTATGTTTTGGTGACTCTTCATATCAATTTTGTAGAGGTCTGAACTGTACCTTTTCTTACAGCTCATGAAAAGGTGTTTCAAAACAGGTTGCTGAAGGATGTGAGATATAATAAAAGTGAGTAAGAAGCACAAAGAGGAAGCATATGAAATATCCTTAAGCATTCAATTTTTTAAATTTTGTTTAAATTCAAGTTAGTTAAAATATAGTATAGTACTGGTTTCAGGAATAGAATTTAGTGATTCATCACTTACATATAACACCCAGTGCTCATCCCAACAAGTGCCCTCCTTAATACCCATCACCCGTCAAGCCCATTCCCCCACCCACCTCCCTCCAGCAGCCCTCAGTTTGTTCTCTATAGTTAAGAGTCTCTTATGGTTTGCCTCCTCCTCTGTTTTTATCTTATTTTATTTTTCCTTCCCTTCCCCTATGCTCATCTGTTTTCTTTCTTCATTTCACATATGAGTAAAATCATGTGGTACTTGTCTTTCTATGACTGACTTATTTCACTTAGCATAATACACTCTAGTTCCATCCACATCGTTGCAAATGGCAAGATTTCCTTCTTTTTGATGCTGAGTAATATTCCAGTGTGTGTGTGTGTGTGTGTGTGTGTGTACCACATCTTTATCCATTCATCAGTTGAAGGACATTTGGGGTCTCTCCATAGTTAGCATTAAATTTATATCAATAGATTATAACATGTTATTTTGCTGCTTGTATCACATCTGTGTTTTTCCTGGTAATAACCCTTACTTTATCTTAGATGAAATTCTCTACTGGATTGGGTTTTTCAAACTTTCTCTGAAGAAACATGAGCAGAAATAAAGATGGAAGGAAAGAAAGGAGGGAAGAAAGGAAGCAAGGAAGGAAGGGGAGAGGAAGGAGGAAGGTGGGAAGGAGAGAGGAAGGTTTAGCATTTATTCCAAAATGTGAGCAGGAGCAGAAAAAACAATCTGAGAGTAAGAGTTTAGGAAACAAATACAATCTCTCTTTCTTTGTGGAGATTATTGATTAGTGCTCTTCAGCTACAATTGCATAGCCCTGTCCCACCTAACTTTTTCCTGGGCCCATATGTTTAACATTTGAGGAAGCATGTTCTAATTCTAACTTTTAACTCTTCAAATTGTAACTCTGCTTGTAAAGAGCTGTGCAAATCTATTGTAGTTTTGTTCTTTGCTTGAAAATTTTAGCAGTTATACTAGATTATGAAGTCATTCTCTTTTAGCAGTGTATATTCATGTAACAGTAACAACTGTCTTAAAGAGATATTTGCACCCCCATGTTCATTGCAGCATTATTTACAGTACCCAAGACACAGAAACAATGTGTCTATGGACAGATGAATGAAAAAAAAAGATAGGAGATATATACACACACACATACACACAAACACACACATACATACATATATAATAGTATATTATTATATAATATACTATATAACATACTGTAAAAAAGAAGGAAATCCTGCCATTTACAACAACATGGATGAATCTTGAGGACATTATGCTAAGTGAAATAAGTCAGACAGAAAAAAACAATATGATATGATACTATATGATATCACTTATATGTGGAATCTAAAAAAAACCAAACTCATAGAAACAGAACTGATTGGTAGTTGCCAGAGGCAGGAGGATGGGGAAGGGAACGGTGAATGTGATCAAAGGATACAAACTTCCAGCTGTAAGAGGAGTAAGTTCTGGGAAGATATAATGTACAACATGGTGACTATAGTTGACAATACTGATGAGGGATGTGTTAACTAACCTTATTGTGGTAATCATTTTGCAGTATACATATATTAAATCATTACATTGTACACCTTAAACTTATACAATGTTATATGTCAATTATATTTCAATAAAGCTGGGGAAAAACAGTAATGCCTGTTAGTTGAAGATAATATGTTTTTATGAATTTTTCTAAATATTTTATAATCATTCCATTTTTTTCCTTTTCCTTTCATGTTTTCAAGGAGGGAAGGTTGATGTAAATAACCTGGATCCTGTTTTAGAAGCCATGGAGGTCAAGCTTACAGAACAGGAACTCAATCTGATAAAGGATCTTCTGAATGGTGAGCGCTGTGGAAAACACTCAACAGATGTTGAGCTTGCAGGATTAATTGCAACTGTTTCAAGGGTTTAAATTATTTGTTGCCCGAAGCCATTTGAATAGTTTTCAGAAGAACTCAGGGGATAAAAAGGCTGTTCATTTTTTGTTGCTTTAAAACCTGTAATCTATGTCTTTATGCATCTTAGGGTAGGGACAGGTGCCAGTGAGAAGGGGAGGGATTATTGTTGTCTGGTTTTACAAAAATAGGATCTGCGATGTGTTTTTTCTCACTGATCCATGTATCACTGACATCAACCCAGGGCATAAACCAATCCATTCACTCATTCCTCATTTCTCTGTTCATGGATTTTGAGATGGCTTTCTTTTGTGGTCACTATAACAAGTTAACAGAATAATATGTATAGTATTATTAATTTTTAAAAGTATATATAGTATTCCTTTACAAACATAAGAACAGCCTGGAAGGATATACACAAACTGTTAGTAATGGTGAGGAGTAGTCATGAAGCTGAGGAGAGGTAAAAGAAGGGACATTTACCTTTTCTTCATATGCTTGTATGTTTTTTAATTTGTTACACAAAGTATGTTTTAAATTCTAACTTTTTAAACTCAATTTATTTTGTTTTTAAGATGAATGCAAATGCTGTGGTAAAATGATAGGATTTGGGCTGTGTTCTTATCCACCAATTAAGTTTAGGGAATCCCTAAAATTGACCACTCATGGAATTAACTCCTCTCTAACATCTCTCACGGCTTAACACAGCAATGCCCATGGCATCAACACGTGGTAACACAAGATAATACTCCTTACGAATGTTGAGAAACATGCATCATTTCAAGAAGTAAGTGAGGTTGAAGGACTTCCCAAATCACACAACGCCACTAACAAATGTGGACCTGGCAGAGTTAGAACATTTGATAATTGAAGAAAAAAATTCTATATGAATAATAATGAGATAGGACATTCAAGATACAACAATATGGATTTCAAAAGATGTAAAGGAACCCTTGGGAAAAAGTCAATCATTTTTGTAAAGGTTATTTTTATACATCTTGTTTCAAAGTTCAGAAGGATGCTGCAGTGTACAATAACCTCACTTTCTCAGAAAAAAACATTTCAACACACTTGAAAAGCCAATGTTGCTTCATTGCTTCTCCTAAGAATTATTCTATATCCTATAGAATAACTATTGGAATAGTTATAATTACAACCTGAATTTTCTTAAATATTAGATAAGATAAACTTATTTTTACAATTTTCATTTTTATTATTTAATACAATCTTTTAAGATCACTTTCATTCATTATTTACTATTGAATCTTGGTCCTCATTGTAAATGAATTTATTTTCCTTGGTCATCTTCTGGAACAATAAATCTTAGATAAAAAGGACTTCTTGTCCTGTGTATCTTTTTTCTGAGTCCATGTTATTGTTTTTCTCTGATTAAACTTTGTCTTACAGGCTATAAGAAAGTTGATCTGAAAAACCTGATGGATAAGGTAGAAGCTGTTACAGGTGAGGAAGAAGTTACCAAATACAGATGATTCTGATTCTTTATACATATTTTATATTCTTTCCTGTTATTCCCTTTAAATTATGCTATTTTTAATAAACTGATTGTAGTTTGATTTCCTAAAGTTTAACTTCGGTTTGTCAATGTTTCAATAATAAAACATAGTGCCACATTTTGTTAGGCCCTATGATCTCATTTTTTCCAGATTAAGATATTTACTAAAAAGATGTTAGTGTAATAAAAAGAGACTAAAGTTTTATTACCTACTAGTAATCTCCCACAACAAAAAATTATGAAATGCATTATTATGTACTCTGTTATATTGCCTCTATTATTACTAAAGTTGTGGAAATAAACACTTCACTATTCTGCCATAACCATACTCAAACAGGACTCATTTAACTTTATTATGCATTGAGTAGTTGGGGTTAATACTTAAACAGTAATAGATTTCATCATTATTTAGAATAATTAGATGGTTCTTTAAAATCACACATTACCATTTCTGTCCTTTTGAAGGGGAGGAAGTTGATATCAACGACTTAGGAACAGTTCTAAGAAACATGGGAATAGAACTCACAGATAAAGAACTCTCACAACTGGTGAAAAATCTGCCAGTTGATAGTGAGTATTTTGAATAAAAATATAGTTGTCCAGGGGAGCATATTGTTAAATTGCAAAAACTTCTAAAATTGTCTCTATTTTACTGCTTGTCAGAAATAATCTTATGGGGGCGCCTGGGTGGCTTAGTCTTTGAACGTCTGCCTTCGGCTCAGGTCATGATCTTAGAGTCCTGGGATTGAGCCCCACATCAGGCTCCCTGCTCGCAGGGAGCCTGCTTCCCCTTCTCCCACTCCCCCTGCTTGTGTTCCCTCTCTCCTGTCTCTCTCTCTCTGTCAAAAAAATAAATGAAATCTTTCAAAGAAAGAAAAAAAGAAATAATCTTATGATCCATATTGCATACTTTAAAATGACTCTATTGTATCTTAAAATGTTATAGCTGCCATTTAATCTTTAGTTTGAGAATCAACCATTGTGTCATCATGACTCTTATCATCAGGGTTCACATTATCTTTTATATAATTATATCTTTTATAACTTTTGATTATATCAATAGATCTGAAATTTAAGCCAGAATTAATGAGAAAAAAGAAAGTGATCTAATAGGGGGAAATGAAAATATCATAAAAGAAAAAGATATGTTTCAGAATGGTAGAGTGTCAGTATCCCCCTGCCCTGTAATTTCATTATTTGCCACTAAATCAAAAAATTTCTAAGGCAGTTCATAAAATATATCTTACTGAAATTGCTGGATTCTTACTCTCTATGAAGCTCCACAGTGTCAGTTTCTGTGATCTGAACAGTGTTTTCCTTACAGATGGAAAGGTCTACCAGAGAAGGTTGCTGGATGGTATAAAGTTTCTTAAAGGTGAGGAAGAAGCTTAATAAAACACAATCAATCCGAGATCATCATGTTTGGCATTTCTACTGATTCCTTGTGATTAAATTGTGAACCCTGACACCTAACACATTATTACATACTTTTGTTTCTTTTATAGATCAATGTGTTCTTTAGATCATTTCTTATGATGTACCTTGGAAAGAACTCCCATGCTCTCTTGGGCTTTCTCAAATTTGACAGAAGAAGAAATTATCAGAGCCCAGGCTGCACAGCAAAAGTAAAGGGAAAATTAACACCTCTTCAGTTAGTTTATTCAGCAGCAAGAGACTACTAATCTGACATTTAGACCAAAAGAGAGAGAGAGAGAGAAGAAGGGAGCTCTAGAAAGCCTTCAAGATATTGAAGGAACATAGGACTGAATAGACAGGCAGGAAGCAGACCAGGAGGAAGGTCATGTCTAGGCAAGGTTCCCAATACCAGCTTCATGATATCTGCCAAATCCACACAGTATTTGTACTATTATTAATATTTTCATTTAAATTGATTTACTTTTAACTTGAATTTAAAAATTTTTTAAATGGCAACGGAGAACCAGCATCCCTTAACATAACTAGAAGTTGGGCGCCTGGGTGGCTCGGTTGGTTAAGCAACTGCCTTCGGCTCAGGTCATGATCCTGGAGTCCCGGGATCGAGTCCCACATCAGGCTCCCTGCTCAGCGGGGAGTCTGCTTC